GGGGACTCTCAAGAGTCTTCTCCAGCACCACAGTTCAAAGGCATCAATTCTTCGGCGCTCCGCCTTCTTTATGGTCCAGCTCTCACAGCCATACCTATAGAAGCCCCTATAGAAGTGCCCCTATAGAAGCCACAATGATGTCACTCATGACATGACATTCTCCTGTAAATGACATGCGTTGTGTAATTGACTGACATGAATGATGTAATTCACATCATTTGTGCAATAATGTCATAATGCACATGACCTCATTTCTTCACCCCACTTCATGGATGACAACGTGTAGCAGAAGAGTTAAACTTATGCCGGAATCTTGTGATATCATAAATAGCTTTCCTTGAGATAGTTATTCCAGCCTTAAAATGTTTGCTTAATGCTTGTTAAGTCCAGTGTTTTATAAAAAGGAGAATGTTTGGTCCAATAAATGTGTTCCTCCAAATTTATTGATGAAGTACACCTCCTACAATTCCTCACCATCAGCATGCTGGTGGTGGTAGGAGTTGTAGCTCTGATCTGGGGGGATGAAAGTTCCTCCCCCTTGCTGTCATCCTTCAGATATCGTTGAAGTCCACCTCCTTTCCTTGCTGATCACAGACCATGCTGGCTACTTGTGAAATCCTTTTGGATCTCTTTTCCAGCAGATTTTGCCCATTTTGCGGGAAGCAGGAAGGTCTTCCTACCAGAACTGCAAGCTTCAGCACAAACTGGAAAACCTCGTGGAGGAAGTTTCTCAGACCTACAGCAAAGAGATCCAGGTAGGGCTGGGCTTTGGTGTTGCAGTTAGCTGTTGATTGCAACCATCCTTTTCTCCTTGACCTTCTGGGGAACTACTGTAGCTTCAGATAGACAACATTGGGCTAGATGAGAGACTTTCTGATCTAGATGAAGACATCTCCCTATATTCTTCATCTAACATTTGTACCACAAAACCTAGCATTTGGTGTTGGCCTAGAACCTAGTATCCTGGTAACCTTGCTTTAATTGCTTTTTTTTAAATGAACGTATCTACTCCATATGATAGAAGAATATATCTAAGAACATGTAGCTTAGTCTTTGCCATTCTTGTGCCATCTGGATATGTGCAAATGGAAAGACCAAAACTGTCTACTCAGTCCACTTGGTAAGTCCCAGGTTGGGAAGACTGATTTTGGCAGTCTGTATGAGAATTCACCAGTCAAATTTGTCCCTCCCTCTGACTATCAGAAGCTGAAGACAAGATACAAATGCTTAATTTTAATACAGTGTCACTATCATCACTGAAAATCACAAAAGAGCCTTGGAGAGAAGTGATCTACCCAACATAGGGTCTGGCACTGAATGACTTATGTTATATGTTACCAAATAGATACTGTACTGTATTCAGAGACCTCCGACTCGTCCTTCTGCCATTCTTGTCCACTGCTTATGCTCAGGACCAGAATTTTGGCATTATTGCTATCTGCAGAGGCTCAGTGTCCCTTGTCTTTGCTGTCCCTTCTTCTTGCCATGAAGGTGATTTCACTTGCCTTGGAGAAGACAAGTAGGTGAAACCACCACCAGCAACAACAACAACAAAAATGTTGTCTTCTCCTGCTTGGTTTCTTTCTCTGGACAGTGGTATCAATTAGCCATGGAAAAGTAGGATACACACAAAGGACAGGATCAACTCAGGTATTTGCCCCACTGACAACTACTTACACTGTCATCTAAATATCATTGTGCCAAAATATTAGTAATGGGGATTAGCTTTCAACAATGCTATGAAGATGCTGGAAGTTACTAACGAGGAAAGAATGAAGCAATTTGTCCCAGATCCCAGAAGTGATACTCCTTGAACTTTCCTTATAGGCTGTTGTGCAATCCCAGCTGGATGCTACGCAGGGTTTGCACCCTCAAATCTTGCAGAAAACAAGCTTCTGGAACCACCTATTCTGCAGTGCACCAGAGACAGTCCTCCTGGACCACTTGCTGATGGAGGTGTATGACAAGCTCATGTAAGTAAAGGCTTAATCCACCCCCTTTAAAGCTTTATCAGAAGGGCAGAAAGTAGCTGCACGCGTGCACACATACACACCAATGCAGGTTTTGTCTATAAGCTGTTTTCTGCTTGAGATTTCAGCATGCCTGGTGGTACGATGTCACTGCTGGTTGGCATAGAAAGGAAACATTGTACTTCTTTTGGGTTTTATATGAGTATTGTCGTCTTTCATCACTTTGAGCCTCCTATTTGCCAGAATCACTCTGATTTCTTTCTCTGCTTTACAAATATATTTCTATGGCAGCTGATCACCTAGGGCAGAACAGCACCAGTTGCAGTCCTCAGACTAGAAGCATCACCAGAAACCTCTGAAGAAATGTTCTCAAAATATACTTTTTAATGTGAGAGAAGAGGGAAAGTGTTAAATACAATCCTTGACAGTAATTAAATTAGCTATATCTCATTTTCGTTGCACATAAATATAATTGAAATTAAATCATTTTGGTTTTGTCCTAACTTCAGTCACTACGTTGAGGCATGTTGCTATCAAAATACTATTCAAAGACTAAGTGTAACCCAGGAGTTTGAGGAAGTTGAGCACCTCTGATTGTATCAATTGGTTTAACAGCAATTTCCTCTTCTCAGAAAATTCTGGAAATTGTAGTTTTGCAAGGGGTCTCTTCTTTTTATGAGGCCTTGGTAGTCTGTGGTATCATAACTTTAATAAATAATGTACTGATTGACCTTCTGAAAAAATGTGGCTGCCCACTCTTGGAAACAAGAAGCTGGGCTAGATGGAATCTTGGACTGAAGGAGTAAGTGGTCCTTAACTTCTCTTTTCTCCCCACACCTTTATGGGTACTTGCTCAAGGAGGCTTGAACAGTCATCTCTCTTGGCCTGCTTAGGTTCCATATTTCATGCCTCCTGGCCCACTTCTCAGAGTCCAAGTCTTAATATACTTCTTGTGTTTGATAGGAAGATCCAGATATCAGTTACTGAGGCCATGACCAATAGCATCACTGAGAAGACTTTGGAGGAGTTAACCACCATTCAAGACAGGCTGGTGAGTAGGATGGTGCGAAGACATCAATGGCCCAATAGGAGTTCTGTGTACTACTATTTTCTTCCTTCCTTCCACCATGCCAGCAGGTTTGATCCCCACACCAATCCAGGGAGATCAAAATTTTGCTCTGAGCAAACTATTTATAAGATTATATTTCTTTTGTGTATTATAATTCCAGATTTCTGCCGTATATGATCAAGGCAGTTTGCCGTATAAGCGTTTTCAGATAATATTATGCTAAGAAAAAGTAATTTATGCCTGTAAATTGGCATTGGATGGTGGTTTGACTTGGTTTGGTTTTACTTCTCTCTCCAACACTTTGTCATCTCTGTGGTTGTTCCTATTCTGAAAAAGGCCCACGGGAAGAGTCCCTCCTATTTTCCATGGGGGCATAGTCAGAATTTCTTCTGAGGTAAAAAAAAAAAAAATGGATAGAAGCAGATATTTTTCTATGAATGAGAAGAAATGTTTGGCACAGCACAAAATAGAAACAGACAAAGCAAAAGCAATGTCAGCCAGTCCAAAGCAAAATGATGGGCCATGTCATTGAAAAACAACAGACATAAAATCTGACTTGATGAAGTATTCTAACGACGGCTTTGAACAATGGCTCACTTCAGCCCCTGCTGACTCTTTCAAGTAGTTCAGACTTTTGCTGAAGTATAATTTCCACCAGCCGCAGCCAACACGGTCAATATTTGGGATGCTGGGAGCCTGAATTCAGCAACAGCTGGAAAACCTCAGCAGGTGGCAGCATCAAGCTGACCTTGGCTGATCTCAAAAGTTAAGCATGACGGGCCTTTATGATTAATTGGGTGGGAAACTATTTGGAGATTCAAGGACTGTTGGCTGAAAAGTCAAAACAAATCCCAGAAGAAGGCAGTGTGGCAACCACCTTCCATAATGTTGCTGTGTGGTCACTAAAAGTCGAAAATGACTTGATGGCACATGCTTCCTACTCTATCCTCTGCCCTTGCATTTCTTCTCTGTAGGAACTCTGTAGGAACGCTGTAGGAGAACCTGCTTTCCTTCTAAAGCCTTGACCAGTTCAGCCAGATGTTTTTGCATGCCAAAACCTTACTCCCTTCACATTAACCAGACATTCCCCTCTCTTAAAAAATTTGCTCTAATTTCTCCCTTTCAGCCTTGGCTTTTTTCTCTGTTCTGTACTTAGCTTACATTTGCTCAACATAGTGGAATTTTTAGATAGCATTTCTTCTGTCCACAGGTGGCCGCCCAGTGGAGACACACCTGCTCCATGAGTCTTCTGCCAACACCCAGCCCAAATGGTAAGACTTGTTCTATTTGAGGGGAGTGGGCAACATAGACCCTGATGTCCCATACAGCTCTGCCCATGAGTTTCCATGCTGGAGTTGTCAAAAATCAACAGCACATTCTCCACACACCCCATCTTTAATGAAAAGGGTGCTTAAACGAGTGGGTAAGGCTTAGAATAAACTTGACATATTTTTTTTAAAAGAAGAAAACTTGCACAAAGCCTCCTATGAAACAAGAAACATGAGAAATTTCCTGGGTGCAACATAACTCCACCAACTCTGTAGCGTTGTCTTGCCTTCTAGGCTCTTGGTTGCTCAAAAAAATAAATAAATAAATACCAGCCACGAAAATATTGTTCTATTTGTTAGGGAGTTATTTCAGCAAGTCACTTTTCTAAAAGCTGGGGAAGACAGCATGAAGGATTTTTTTTGAAAGATAGGAATGTTTGCAAATATGTATAATCATGTAAGAGTACTTCTTGCATAACTAGAACTGGCTTTAGCCATTTGCGAGGGCAGCAAATCCTCTGAAACATGCAAGACAGACAAAACCCATAAAGACTGAAAGCCAGAGAAAATTAATCATGCTAATTTAAATTCATGGAATGTAAATGAACAACCACAACTTGATTCTTTTGATTTCAGAGGGACTTAAGCACAATCTTTTTTTTTTTCCTGGCTTTGGGGCAAAGTGCTTTAATTTCTTGACCCATGAGTTGAGTTTCAAAATTGCTTTGCCTCCATGGAAGTCTACTTCAATTATAATTCTGACTTCGGCTGTAGCATGAAGTGGGGTACCCAGTGTAAAGGCTCTGATCTGTTGGAGAGCAGTTGTTTCCAATGGATGACTGAACAGATGTCAGGTATAAAGGATGCTTGCCCACCATCAATGCTTTAAGGTTCTATAAGCATTTTTGCACGGAAGATTTTCTGCAGAGTGCATAGGCCGGTCCTCCAGGTGTGTTCATACAATCAGTGTGGTTAAAATTTTCAATAAGCTAAGATTAAATGTTGAGGGGATTGAAGTCCAATACAGGTAGAAGAAGTAGATACAGACTATGCATGTCCTTCCTTTCTCCTCCTGCAGCCACTGTAGGAAGGAAAGAAAATGAACATAGAACAACACAGTAGAGCACATGCTTTGCTTTCAGGAAATCCCATCCTGAAAGTTCATTCCTTCATAACTCTTGTAAAAGGACATTATAAAAATGTACCTGAAATCCTAGAGAATTACTTTCAGTTGAATATATTTATTTGCTTATTTATTTATTTTTTATACCTCCCAACTCCCAGCAACTCTGGGGAGTTATCTAGATGATGATGATGATGATGATGATGACATCTAGATGGATTGAATTGTGGAACCAATTACCAGAGAGGTGATGGGCTCCATTTAATGCATTCAGGCAGAGGTTGAACAACCATCTCTCAGTGATATTTTAATTAGCATTCTTGTAGGAACCAGAGGGTTAGAATCATTGGCCCCTTCCAAATTTATGATTCTATGACTTGGCCAATATGAAGAAGCTTACTATATTCCTATAAAACAAAGGCTGGCAAATTTGGCCTAATTTCAGAAGTGTAGATTCATTTGATGCCCCACAACAATCCCGGAAAACAAGTTCAATGGAAGAACTTCTAGTTCAGCATCAGCTACTGAACTTTATGGCCGAGCCATGACTCGAGCCATCCCCAACAGTGTTAAGCTCCGCATTGCACAAGCTTTACAGAGTGAGATATGGGGTAGCACAGAAACTTGGGATTCCAGATGCCATGCCCAGTTGGGTGTCTTCCAGACATGGAGCAATTCCCACACCGCACTTAGCCTGCTGCCTGAAAATGTGGGCACCAGAGCATTGGTAGACGGATTGTAAGAGTGGACCATTCTTCATGGATCAGTGGGGGAGCTGCCTTTACAGAATTTCAGAATTTCTAGTTTATTTCCAAAGAGTGATCTTGGCAACATGTGAATGGTGAGAATCCTGGTGTTAATAAAAAGGGAAAAGAGAGAGGGGAAGGGAGGAAGGCAATCATAATTTTTCTCCCTTGTGCATGTGTGTGTTGCTCAGTCCTTCCAGCTTGGAAGAAGAGACTGAGTTTCTCGCTGGACTTGCTTTCTCCTCCTTACTGGGGCAAGTCAAGCTTTTCCCATGGATGCCCTGAACACTCCCTTCTGTCAGAGCCTGGTGGCCAAGAAAGCCTTGTCAGCTTAGTCGCTTGGTACGTAACAAGCCTTCAGGTGACAAGAGAGATTGCTGTGCGGCAGAGGGACAGGCGGCTGTCTGCCTGGCAACTCTCCACCCCCCGCCTTTTCCTCCCCCTCTCTGCCTCCCCTTCTCTTCCCTCTTCCAGGTCTGTCAGAACTCGCGCTGAAGGTAGGAGCCAAAGATAACAAGATTGGGAGTCCCCAGCCTGAGCTGTCACTCAGCCGTGCCTCCGCGAAGTCACGCCCTGCTTCCACAAAGGATGCTGAGCCTGGGAGCGGGCTGCTGCCGTGCACAGAGCCTGCATCCGGAGAATCCCTTATGGACCTGCCGACTGCGGGGGAGAAATTGGAGCATTACACCCGAGACAGGCCCAGGCCAAACCGCAGGAACAGGCAACCTCCCAGCAAATCGAATGTAAGAGCTTTCCTACCAGGGGGCTGTGTTTTGATTTTGTCGATGCACCAGGTTTGGGGTTGTGTGTGCTCTCTGTGGGTGAGGTGAGCAAATCATCTGCCAGGTGTTTATTGCAGCCGCCCTGGAAGAGGGGAAGGAACTGGAGCAGCAGCTGTTTGATTATGCGCTTGTCAGCTGGGCCACTGGTCATCGCTGCGCAGAGGACACGCTAGTTAATATCTGAGTCGATGCTGCTTTAGGGAGGCAGGGTGGCTGGAGGCAGATCTTGACTGCCCGTGTTTATTTACTAGTTAACGTTGGGAAGGAGGGAGTCATCGTGGTGGGTCCTGATCTGCAAAAACTGCAGGCTTGGGGGGAGGGGTCCCAGCCCATTTACATGCATGTACCGGCTTCATTGTCATATGTTTATGACTATCACGCTCCCATTTATGGAAGGATGAAGCTAGATGAGTCTCATTTGCGTGTGTCTTCCTGAAAAGCAGCTGCTGCTGCTATTACTGTATCATTATGGTTGGTCACACCATCAGCCAGATGTTTAGACTGGATTTGGCATTTTTGTCAAAGTCGAGTCCTTCCCAAGGACCTGGGAGAGGCAGATGTTGTTGTGGTTATTCTTATTCTTATTATCATTATCATTATAAAAACTATTTTCTGCTATTTATCTCCAGAACTGATTTGCCTTATCTATTATCTATGGAAGGTCAGATCTTTCCTCTTGGAACATTTGGGGCCGTTGACTTGATTGGGCTTCTCAGATGAAGAAAGATGAGATCAGCTCTTAGTCTGGAGGTCCTTTTGTCAGAAAATGGTCCACTGATAGAATGATCATTAAGTCCTTGATTATGGCAGAGAAATAACTTTTTGGTGCAAACAAGCCATAAGTCTAGGTAGGAAAATCCAGTGTTTACATAGGTATGAATGAGTGTGTATGTGAGAGAAATGACACATGTAATATATACCAAGATTTATCTCTCCAGCAATAGAATGTCTCCAGAGTTATAAGGTGGGATTTGGTCCTCTGGAAAAGATAACGCCTCTTTCTTCATTATCACTAATTAGAGGCTGTGGCCTTGAAGAGAAGGCTCCAGTCCTTTTCTGATCATACCTTTTAAAAAAATCTCAAACCAGATGCAAAGTGACCAGCGATGGGGGGAGAAGGAAACGGCTTATTAATTATCCAATTAGGGCATAATTATTGTTTACCACATCCCTGGAAATCTTCAGAATGTGAGTTGTACTAAACATTAACAAATGGTGACTTTGGAGCTCAGGGTCTGAGGATTATCCTGGATTCAAAGAGGCATCCGTAAAAAATTACAGTGGGAAATGAAAACAGAAGACATCATAATACATGCTTTATTTTTCCTTTTTCCTCTACAATGGATCTGTCTCCCCTGCCATCAATATTTCAGTGCCTCTTCTAAGATCCATCCAAGAAGCAATGCAGGAGTGGGGAGAAAGGAATGTATTAGAAATCCTCAGCTGATTTTCTTCCACTGCTCCAGTTCTTTAGCACTTTTCAGGGTATCACTTTTCTTACTCCATTAAGATGCAGATGTGTTGAAATATTCAACAGCCAACCCTTCCCCTAGAAGACAAGAGATGAGCATCCAGATCTCTAATAAAGCTCTTTAAAAACCCTAATGTACACCTTCAAGACATAAGCAATAATGCTAGGGAGGGTGCCGTTATTTTTGTGCTAGGGTTTTTTTTAACCTTTTTTATGGATCTGATTGCATTTTTCATGCTGGATTTTATGTCGGTTACCCAGAGTCTTTGACTGGGTGGGCATATAAATCTGGTTAATTACTTAATAACATGACACCTGAAACACTATCCACACTTATTAGGCTGGGGGAGAGCAAACCCATCCTATTTTGCAATAGGATTTTAAAATGTGTAGCACAATTTCTGAGCTGTTTCTAACACAGTAAGAAGCAAAATAGGTATGTTAAGCCTCCGCTAGGCTTAGCATGCGGTTTTACTTAAAAATTTCACTGCCTCCCCAACACACACTACCCCAAATCCAACACAGGAGGATGTTGGAGGGCAGACAATTTCAACCCCACCTTTTCAATCGGTATTGAACATTACTATTGTATTGATGTATTGTATTGAACAGTACTAACATTACTATGCTTCCTATGCCACTAAAAGACTGATTTAAAAAAGAAGAATCCCTACTGCAAAAAAACCCCAGGCGCCTGGGACTGTATTAGATCATCTGCTTGATATTGGTTGACCTTAATTACTTCTAAGCAACAGATTCTGTTACATATCCAGGGCTGCTAGTAAAGTACCTTGGAGTTGCTGTGTTTGTATGTCAAGTCTAATTATGTACCTGCTGCTCAGAGTTTCATCCCAACTCTTGACAAGCTCCTGTATAAGCAACTTCTGACTTCTGGAGAGTTGACTTCGGCGGGACTTAGCCCTTGGGTCTGGACTGCATATGTATGCAAAATAATACCATATTATTGCCATGTAGTTATAATGAAGCAAAGGGATGGGCAGCTTCCAGATTTCAGGATCTGCTTAGCTTTGAACTAAGCAGATCCTGAATTCATCAATTAGATTAGATCCGAGATTCATCCATTAGAATCCCAGGTCCATTAAACAGAACTCACTATGCTGGTTTAACACATCTCCTGTCTGTGTTTGGCACTGAATAGAATAGATGTATATGTACACATATATAGAATACACACACATGCTTGGCAAATCCATGCAAATTATTCTGTGCCATAGGACAGCCTCTGAAAAGTTGTGGCCAGCAAAAGGGCTGCTTTCAGTTCAAGTTCACTGCTCAGCCAATACGGGAATATTGGCGCGTTAGGGTTGATCATCACAGTTGTCAATGGAGCAGCATTTCTATAGTGTTTCCACATGTTCAAAACAAAGTTTAATAGTATAATCCAAACCTGTTCTGTGTCTTATTGCTTACAACCTATCTTTTTAACATATGGAATTTACAAGTAGCTTCTTAGTAACACAGTTGGTTTAAGTGTGGGTTGGATTCTTGTAGAGTAAGAATTTTATAGGGAGGAGCTGTAACTCATTGGTTGAATGCCCACTTCTCATGTAGCAAGTTCTAATTCCATTATTGTTATTTTTAGATGGATCTGAATAATTCTTGACCAAAACCTTGAGAGCTCATATTAGCTGTGTTGACAGTTTTGGGTTGAATGAGCAAAAATCTGACTTAATAGAAGGCAATTTGTTGATGGTCCCTCTTATGGTGACTAAAGTCTAGTGTAAATGGTTTCTTTGACAAATAATTAATAACATGCATAATAGATTGATAATCAGCTATTAGCCATAATAGCCAAAGCAAACTCTGTATTCAGAAGTTCCAAATTTCTGTCCAAATCAAGTGGTCAGTGACATTCCCAAAGGCAACAATGGTTAGCCATTTTTGGTTCAACCACATGATGGGGTGTTCCTGGAGACTGGGCACTTGATCTGAGAAACCAAAAACTCAGTATGCACTTCTGGCAGATACCTCTCCCTCTTTTTAAACTTGGCAGTTGATCATGTTCACATTTTCCTCTTTGCCCATATACCCATGATTATCCACCAAAGAGGAGGTAAAAATATGGTGCCTGGGATTATCAAAGGAGGAAAGAAAATATTTCATGTAGACATAGTGATCTGAAATAAGTTGGGTTCTGTAGTTCCCTGTATAATTTTCTTAATGAGTCTGATCCATCAGTGGAATTTGTTTGTATAAATTATCTATGCTAAAAGTGGGCATCAGTTGGAGGATGCTGCAATTTACATGGCAAACTTGACTTATTGTAGTTTGGTGAGCACCACTGATCTCTTACTTATAACTTGAAAGGGCTTCTACATCAGAAAACCAATGGAATAAAGGAAAGGAATGACTGAGGCATGTTTAATAATTAATAGGAGTTGAGGCAGAGGGGAAAAAAGGCTGCTGTCTAATTTTACCTAACAGAGCAATATTCCATACAAATGCAGCAGGCAACCTCCAATCATGATCATTTCTTCTGAGAAGTAACACTTAAAGATGCATGATGATTTAAAGCTTGGGGACCAAACTTATTCATTTGTCAGTTTGTGTCCATTCGAATGGACTGAACTGGAGGAAGAACTTAACTATTTAATGGGGGAGTCACCCATATTGTAGTCAAACAACTGAAGAAAATATCCGCCATGGAAGGTGACCCACCAGAAATGTAATATAAAACCTCCAGCAGAATAAGTACCTTGTAGGTCACTAGACATGATAGGCAGGTGGGCAGTAACTGAATGCTGAAGTGCCCAAATTTCTGTCCAAATATGTCCACTTTCTCTCCATTGTATCTATATACACATGCTTGATGAACCTAAGGGCCTTTTCACGTGGTTTCATTTAAGTCATTCAAGCATACTTAAATATAATTCTAAGCTGCTATCTCAGAATGCCTGTAATGGTCGGATATTCTTATTTGAGAGTTGGGACCTAAGGGCAAGCATAAATTATCCAGATTTGTTCCTGCATCCTGGATAAATTAGCCTTAGATCTGAGCAGTGTCAGCTAGTTTGATATATGTACCATATAGTCATGGGAATCTCCCTCATGCTGAGGTAGACTTGAATTAATCTAGCCTACCATTTTCTACTACTGGGCAAGGGCCGTTGAGTGGCTCAGTCAGGTGTCTTTCTAATTGGAACTGAATTAGGGAACCTTTGCCTATAAACCATCATGATATGAAATCAGTGCAGCCAATGTCAGCTCAAGGTTATATGGTGGTCTTAGCCCACATTGACCTCCAACCAATGCAAAGATTTGCATTTTTCAAATGGTTCAGAAGGAGACGCAGTGTTGGAGCCCCTAAGGTTGGAGACTTAGCCTAAAGCTGTCCCTGAGACCAGTAAGTCCAGGAGTAAGCACACCTAACCTTTGCTACCATTTTAGTTCATAAGAGCTCCAATTTCACTGAGGTGTCAGACTTGTTAAAACTCTCCACCGTTGATGTATATCTATTGATGCTTAAAACATATGCAGAATTAAAATTGCTGGCCCTAAAAGTTGCAGTTAAAAATAAGCTCTCTGGGAATATGACGGTCTCATTCGTTTTGCAGTCAGATGACGAGTCTGTGTAGATACTCCTGTAATTCACAAGGGTGGATGACAGTCTGTAGTGTAATTTCAGGGAGGCTCAAATTGGCATTAAACTTGGGAAAATAGCCAAACCCCCTGTGTGTGCTGATTTCTCTTTTTTTAATTAGAGAGAATATCTGTTGCCAGAGCAGTAATAAAGCTCAGAACATCCTCTGCAGATATCCATGGAAGGGAGGAGGAAGACGTTGATGGAACATGATCTGGAATATGTGTGTGTGTGTGTGTGTGTGTGTGTGTGTGTGTGTGAGAGAGAGAGAGAGAGAGAGAGAGAGAGTTATATATATACCAGCTGTAGTGCTAACACAGAGGAAGAATCCTTGTATACATTTATACATGCACGTATGCACAGATCCACATAAATTCATGGATGGGTCCGTGCACATTCAGAATGTTTTTTTATCTCTCTTCATTCTCTCCCCTGGTCTGTCCTGCAGTTTAGACTATATTCTGTTCCCTCTACCTCTCATACTGCTGTGTCAGGAATGGACATTTTCTCTGCTCTGAGATGCAAGAAATGTTGAAGGACCTTCCTTCAAAGGAGCGAGATGGGCAGACTGTCTAAGCTAAATAATACCATTTCTCGGTTTAGAAAGGGTATATTTGGCTATCCTTGTTACCACCACCACCCCCATTCAATTACAATAGGACTGCAGGGCCCCCCTGTTTTACTGGCACTCTTCTGCCACATAATGCTAGCCACACCATTTTAATCCACTAATTTGAATCATAATTTTTTGTACTGGTGTTGTAATATGGGGTAACAGTCAATCTACTTCTACTGCTTTAATCCCTAAATAAGGGAATAACTGCTTTATTTTCATTATATGTATACCTCCCTATGAGGGGTTAGCTATAGGGTGATTTTGAAATTTTAGACATTTCCATGAACCAAACTTTCACTATCCTTGACCTAATATCTGCCCAGGCTGGTAAAAAATCATCTTCTCCTTCTCTGAGGCATATAACATGTGTTAAAGATGGAGTGTCTAAATTTCTTACTCACCGAAATAAATTGCAGTACAGTAACCAAAGAATTTAAGAATAGGTGTATTTATATGCAAAAGAAGTTGCCATTTTGGGATGCTAATCATATTGACCTCTACTAATTGATGGATAAATACAAGGTTTACAGGATTAATTCAGATTTTCTTGGGGAAACCCTTCGTAATGCTGAGATTTCAGTGAATACCATGTGTTATTTTAAATGGTTTATTCTACAACATAGGATATGATCTGTGGCTCATAATAAATTGCATTGCCTCCTTTGCTTATCTGTAAGACAAGACAGTGCTGTACCACTCAAATTTACAGAAACAGAATTACCATTTTAAGATAATATCAAAATCACGGAAGTTCTGCATTTTCATGTATTGGGCAAAATGAGGCCAATTTTTATGGACTGACCATGTTATGACCACTTTTTCATATCTGGGCTAGGTTATGTACTTCTCCATATCTATTTTAGTCTTGTAGAGTTGTGTCCTTTGTGGCTGTATTTGGTGACCCCAATGATGCTGAATTATTAGTGAAATCAATGAAGCAAGTTGTCAGAATTAATTTATGTCTTATAGATTTTAATAGGGTTTTAACGTGGCTTGGATTTGAGCCATATAATACAGTCACACTAAAATCCCACTGAACAGGAATATTTGTATTTAGTTCCTGGGGCTGTGTTTTGTTTTTATATAAGCAAGTCTATGAGGTCCACTTGACTAGCACATTTTTTAAAAAATTCAGCAGTTTATTTAATATTTGTGACACCATATGATTGGTACAAGTAAAATGGTATTTAGTTGTGATAGGAACCAAATAAATGGCAATCATATTTCATTCAGCACTTACCTGCTATTCTTGGTCCTTGGCCAAATACTCATGTAAGATTTAAAGCTTAGCATGACTTTCTTCTGTTGTCCCTCACCAATGCTGGCCTTTTACATCCTTTTTACATTCACAAGACATGCAGATGGGTGTGAGGGAAAGTGTTATTCCATGTATCTTCTATGTTGTTCCCTAAAATATCCCAAGAGCACTAAGTTGAGGAGAGCTAATTGTGACTCTTACTCTAGGTACAGCCGCCTGTGCGTGAGAACACGGAAGACAGAAGCATTGCTAGGTTGGATGAAGGGTTAGATGAATTCTTCACCAAGAAGGTGATTCACGAATATTTACTGTAAGTAAAGACTCCACTTAGGCATTTCCAACAAATATTAACTGGCCAATAGGCAAAGCAGGGATTTTCATCAAAGCTTGGGATGTGTAATGGGAAGAAGGGATAACCTTGAGGAACAGGAGGAAGAGCTGCAACCAAGACAACATCCAGATAAAAGACATCTGAATCTGAGGCAGAAATGTAATTTGAGAAAGCGTCTCAGAAGTGATCCTCCCTAGTTCTCATGAAGATAAAGGGAGGGAGGGGGAAGCACATTCAGACTTGCAAGATTCTGTTACTGTAGCCCTACAATAAAAGCTTGTGTGTCTTTGGTTTCCAAGTTTGCTCTACCTTGGAGGGCTGACAGGGTGGCACTCAGGGAGCCGGTCATGCATGATAACAAAAGCCATTTAAAATTAATAATGATGAAAATTGAAAGTAGGCAGATTGATTAGGTTAAGAACAATGCTCAGTGCGTTATAATGCTGATGATAAAGCATTCAGTCCATTGTAAAGTGGACTTCAAAAACATGTTTCCCCAATGAATACTCACAGTGTCAAGCTATGTAATGGAACGAGCAGAGCAGTTTGTATGGCTACTGCTGTATAAGTAATGAACTTCTGTGCTTTTGGGCTAAGCAGTACTCAGAGCTATCCTCCTTAATACATGTGATGGAACATATCTACGAGGAGGAGAGTGATGTGGGAGATCAAGGCTGTCAGGAAGGAGGGGGCGCATTCCAGGAGGGAGGAGGAGGCAAGAGGCAACACAGTCCGCGGGGGGAGCGTGAGAAGAGAAAGAGGTTCAGGACAGCCACTCCCTAGAATCTCCCAGGGTATATCCACCAGTTGCTGTAGTATAGATTGAGTCTGGCAAGATTCTGCCTATAAGGTGTAG